AGCGAGTAAGTACACTCTTGTTTTATGGAAATATTAAAGAATTAATATTATTAGGTAAAACTTTTCAAGTCAAACAAAATTATTGATTTTTTACATTTTATGTTCAAAAATAATACGAATTCATCCTTAGCAATGAATTGAGTTTTCTTACAAATTACAATTATTATTTGTATCCGTACCTATTGAATATCGAACAAAATAATTCTTTTACGTTCACTGACTTGTAAATGTTATACAATTATTATTTAAAGTCTAGTCGAATGATATTGTGAAAAATAAAAATACGTTTCCTTATTTGTATGCTGTACGTGAAATCCCCTGAATATTGATATATATATATATATAATTATATAATATAATATTCTTACACAAAAACGAATTTAATTTCTGTTCAATGTACCGGCCAACGATTATTTAATTTATATTCTAACTTTTTTGTTTTTGTTTTTCATATTTACAGTATTTAAATCATTATATACGTTAGAAATGTGTGATGGATTTTGTTGGTAGTTTTTTTTTTTTTTTTAATCAATCCGTAATACATTACTTTTTTAATGAATTTGTTTGGCAATTGATAATCATTTTTTTTTTTTTTTTTTTTATTAATATTTCTTAAGCGATAATACAGGTAATTTTTCGATTTTCTCAAGAGTTTTCTCGTAAAATTTGAAAAACTGAAAAAAAAACGGGAAAACGTACGAAATATATTACAAAAATATTACGATATTTTATTTTGTCTACAACTTTTCTACTAGAAATTTTTCTTTAATTTATAATGATAGCAATTTTTCTAAAAAGAAATTTGACTCTGGAGGTACTTTTTGAAAAAGTCATTATTCCATTTTCTCAGTAGCTTTCTCATCGAATTGAAAAACCTGGAAAAACATGAGAAATCCGAGAAAAACGTAGGAAAACCGGTAAAACATTAAATAAATATTATTAAAGGAAAAATATAAAACCTATTTAATTTTTTTACTAAAATATGGCATATATATTGTTGACAAAACATCACTATCAACTAAAATTTGGTTTCGTAATCAGTGATTTATCTTTGCTTACAGGTATACATTAAATTACCAACAACAGTGGCTGCACCTATTTCTATTATCCTAGGACGTCTTTTTGTTTTTGTGTTTAAAAAAAAACATAAATATTATACTGCAACACAGACATTCTTTCATATTATTTTATAAATGAAACTTCTTCTCTGAGGGTATGCATAGAATTCGGACTACGGTTTTGAGGATCGTGAAATTACATTATCTCATATACAACACCTCAACATCGTAGTATTTTGTGATTTTGAAAACATCATGAAAAATGAAATTGTACCTCATTAATAGACATCTATGAAACACAGAGACGGTTTTGACTGCCGCTATAAAAATATAAAATGTACATACGAGACATTGAGCCCAAAAGTAACACTACCCACAAAAACTTGAAATTAAAGTTAAATTTTTTATTTAAGATTAAACATAATTTTATAAAAAAACGGTTTGTTTTTCGTTATTGCTGAAGTATTTGTTGTTGCATTAATGCATTTTATATTCCAAGATAATACAACTTGCTGAAAAAGCTGTATTACTCCTTTAAATCAATACACAGCCTAATCCTCTGTTGTGCTATGTTGGTGTTTTTAAAATGCCAATTTTATTGAAATTTAAAATATTTATAAACTAATCTAACTGAAATATTATTGTCAATATGCTCATAATATTTTTATCCAGGATATTTTCACAAAGTAAAAGTACAGTATTTCATTAGATATATTTCATGCATATATACTAGCTGTCAGTGTTACCAGTGCCAAAAGAAATACAATCCAATAATGAACTAAGTAACTAATTTCTATGGCAAAAATATTACGGTACTTACACAAATTACACCATATTATAGTTATTTTTGTTTTGTTTTATTTTTTTCCACCCATATCACTAAGGTAATACTTATAAATCAGCAAAACTAATTAAATTTTCATACCAAAAATACTAAAAAATCGTTGTTGTTTCCAAATTTAGGGTATTTCATTCAGGGAAGATCTTATCATATTTCTGAAATAGAACTATATCTGTACTTAAACAGTTTCAGCTCAATCCACTAAGTAGTTTTGGCCTGAGGAGCAACAGACAAACATTCTTCCAAACAAACTTTCGCATTTATAAAATTAAAATATTATTATTATTCATAACGCCTAAGAATATTAAACATTTTGAAATATTCTAATTCTACTTTAAAAATAATACTTCTAAAATATTAATATTACGATATCTAGGTCATACATTTTTACGTCTTTGAAGGGTGGATGATGAGAGTTTCGGCCCAGTGCATATTGATGGTAATTATATGACGAAAAATGCATTTTCTAAGAATAGTCACTATACCCACATTATAATAATCTTTAGTCGATGAAAATCACACATTTTTTTTAACAACGTTCAAAATTATATTCTTATTTTATTATGCTCATATTTTAGCAATAGTAAAATGAACTCTCTGGAAAAAATTATAAATCATGGATTGGTTAAGATATCTCCCCATTGGCTTATCCATCTTTAATATTTGCAGCTATTTGCGCTAATGCGTATAGTAAATTGTTCTATTTGTAAACTGATACTACTGATAGCCATATAATAATAATACGCGTATTATTGGCGAGGCACTTCGGCATAAACATAATGTCCGTAATAATTTGCATTGTGTTTACTAAATACCAAACGCACACTCCAAATATCGAGTGTATATATATATACTATATTTATTGAACTCGGTATGGCGTATAATTATTCAACTGTAGTCTCCGAGTCAATATATACGTATTAAATATACTAATAACTCATCAATCTTGGCAGTATCGCCTGAGGGATAAATTTGTAGGATTATTTTGATATAAGTATGTATATTGTATCAGTTTATTATAGACTATATATCAGGCTTTATTATATAAGGTGCAGTGTGACACTAATATTGTGCAGCATGAAATATAAAAATATGTAGATGACGAATGTGTGCATTTAAGAAATTTACATAATGTTAAAATACGAAAGATTTACTTTGCAGTGCTGGGAATTATAACTCGTGTAAAAAAAAAAAAAAAAAAAACACGAACAAGAATAATAATGATAATAATTTGTTAGGTATTAAAATAAAAATTGTATCATTTTATTATTATCTATATTTAATTATTTATACTATAGTCTGTCCCGTGACAAGAATATTTCCAAGTTTTGATGTAAACCTTGAGTAACATCTTAAAATGTATCTGTACATAAAAATGTATTTGTTAAGTCTAGAAATGAATATTTATTTACCCATTTTAACATACTACCCCACTATCCTTATTATGGGACCTGAAAATTTTACTGTGGATTAATGCAACTAGTTGCTGAGTAAAATAAACTCCTAATGCACGTGACCAAATTTGGTTTATTAGAAGGAATATTTAAAGGAGCATTTCAAAATCTCAGTTTCAAAATGAGTAAAAAGGAGATAAAAGAAGATAATAAAAAAAGACAAACATACTTCACACGATGGGTGAGCCACTGTTGAGGTGTGAGAATTGGGCAAGGTAGAATATATAGAGGAATTTAATTTGTATCTGTACGCAATGATAAATTATTGTTAACGAAAAGAGAATCAGAGCGAAGTTTCTTTTATTTATGTAGTACGTACATTTTCCCGGTTATTTACAAGTTTTATGAAAACCGCTTTTAAAATAAAAATAAATTCTTCCTTAAAGTACCACTCAGAAACAATTTCCTTTCAGAAAAGATACTAAACTTGAAAATCGGAAAAAGATTTTTGGTAGAAAAGTTGTTCTCAGAAAAAAAAAAATATAAAAATTCATAGTTAAATCAATATATTCCTCAGTATGCTCCGAATTTAAAAACTAAAAATCAAAAATCCAACATCTGTTGAATAGCTTTCGATCGTCAGGCGATCTTATACTCATAAGACCTTGGTACCATTTTCTATATTTTTTAGATATATTTCCCATTTATACCAAGAAAACTCGATCCCTTTAAATGCTAAATTAAAGATTTTTTGTAACATTTTTAATCTCCTTCGATCTTTAAAGTAATTTTTAGACATTTCTTGGACATTCTGTGGAAATTGAGAATGACATTTTTCAAAAGATGTGTAATTCACCATCGGTCAGAATTGCTTTTTGTTAACAATCGTTGTATAGTTGTAAATTGAAGAACTTGCTATACCCTACCTTCACAACATGCCAGCTAAAAAAATGGTGCACCCATCAGCAGTACTAAATCTGTTTTCAAAAATCGTATTATTTTTGCACATGACATAATATGTGCTCTATTTTAATGGTTTTAATGTAAATAATTGATCACAAACATATTTTATCGATATAAATTCAAACATCACATCATTTTCATGCTATTATAGTTACCTATATATCTAAATACTAACTACTTATACTGTAGCATTATTAATAATAATAATAATAATTGTATAGTTACTATATTAACATTGCCTTTTTAGTTGATAGTTTTCAAAATTTAGATTCCTATAGTCTACTTAATTTACAAATCTCGTAAGTTTAACTGTGCGACTACATACGTTTCAATTATACTGCTCCACAGTATATTTAATATGAACATAAGTTGAAATTGTTATTAAGACTCTAGTCAAATATCTTATATAAGTACCTATGTAACTTAAATGTTTTTTAGATAACGAACTATTATTACATTACCATTCGAATTTCTTACCTTCAAAAAAAAAAAAAAAAAAAAAATCTACAAGAATATTATGTTAATTTGTATACGACACTTTAGCTTTGTCTTTCGAGTCGTTGTAATATCAATTACATTAGTTAATATATACAATTCTACTTACTAATTAGTATAATATTTTTAGTTTATCTAAATATAAGTGTTTTTCATTTCTTTATTTTTTAGTTGACTACTTCAAAAATTGCCAACAGTCGTTCCGGTCAGCTGTCATTTCATAATATGGTTTATAAACATCCATAGTTATTACCTATTTAAACGTACAAAATTACACGATTTCTCTACCACTGCCGATGTGCTATCTGCGAATCCACAGTCAAAGAACCGGCTGGGATTAATTTCTTGATTAGTTTTCGGTAACCGTCTAGGATTAAGTTCTTGGTCGGCTATCGGCGGGTTCCTGAAGAACCCGGGGAGACTGTTTTCCTCCCCGGACTTTTTAGACGGTACAAGCCTCTTCGTGACGCTAGATACCAGTACAGATAACATGTACAAATTCTCATTGGTTGGACAAGTACCGGTACTTCTCCACCGTGCTTGTATCCAGTGAAAGATCTGGACTACGGCTCGTCTCTCCACGTGATAGTTCATGGGTCTTCTCACGTTCCGATTATTGGGTCGCAACGTGGGATGTTCTCGGGCGGCTTACTTACCTTTGGCAACGGGAATTGTGTTAACAAACGCTTTTTGGTAGACATCCGGTTGTTCTGGTGTGGATTGATCATCTGCTTCGTCGGTTGCCGGACGTCGGGATATGTCCGACCTTCGACATTTATGAAAAATAGTTCGAGTGAGTGGTCTTCGAAGCCTGAGGTGCCGGCTGCGGTTTCTTGCTGCGGTCGATGCCTTGCAGTTGACCTCGAACTGGCGTATGAGTTTCGGTGGGTAGTAATTAATTAAGCCAGTGGCCACTTACCAGACGGCGGTCTTACCATAGGCAGACAGTGGATGAATTAAGTAGCGGGTGAACGGGCCGCGCTCTTGTTCATTGATATGCACCCGGGCCTCTCCAAAGCGTGTGCGACCCTGATCACTCCGGGTTTCTTGAATAGCTATTATTAGCTAATATAAGGTACCCGGTTGTACCACGCTTAGGCGAAAATTAAAAAATCGGGTCCACTGCTGGTGTGCTCTAAACTTAGAAGAAACGGTACCCAAAACAACCATAATATGGTCTATGCAAGCAACTCAATAAAATCAAACGCATTTTTATTAAATTTTTTCTTTCCTATGCTTTAATCGTTTATTTCAAGCCTGAAATAAACATTTTGTTTATTAAGTTTATATGTTTATTTAGTTATAATTTATAATATTCACGTGCCTATATTTTAAACAAAATATTTTTATAAAAAAAAAAAAAAAAATCGTTGTTTTAAACGCCGAATATTTTTTACGGTTTAGGTAATTCAGGATATATTTAATAAGTTTAGTAAATTATACACGAACATACAAATCATGGATTTTTCATAAAGTATTTTATAGGTTACATTTATAACGTGTCTGTAAAAAATATTATAATCAACAATATTTTGTACGTTCGTATTATAATCGTGGTTTTATAAGAAAATATATTAACAACTGCATATTAATGGGGCGCTTTTTATTCCTGTATGTTTGAAACTATAATCGTTCAGTACATTATACAAAATAGTAATTATGATAGGTATATAATTAACTGTATAATTAATTAAATGGGTAATTTAATAATGCAACTATTGTGGTACCTATCTACCCGCCAAAATAATACGCGATAAAAATAATTAAATGTTTTTTTTTTTTTTTTTAAATACCAGGGTTAATCAAAGAGATGGTCGGTAAATACGTGACTGGCAAAATATTTCATTAACTACGTTTAATAATATTATTGTATTATTGTAGGCGGATATCTGAGTATATACTGTTTGGTATTTCTTATATAAGTCTTTTCCCGAAAATACGAAAAAAAAAAATAAAATAAAAAATATTCGATGTTAAAAAATCGTAAATATGCACGGCACGTAAAACGATAAAAAAAAATAAAAACAAAAACGATTAATATCTTAGATGTTGGTTAGCTCGAGTTTTGAAAAAGAACAGCAATAATTTAGCGGTAGGCACAACGTTGATTTACGCGAGTATACTGCAATAATATAGCTAGTTAGTAAAGGTTTTTTTTCACGGAAATATAATTACCAATTATTCTGACAGGTATTATAATATTATGATTATGCGGTAAATAATTGTTCTACTCGGACCGTTACCGTATCTCAACATTTTATTTTTTTTATACTAATTATTTATGTGTAATATAGTTTTATTTATAATAATTTCTGTGATAAAGGTCTGGTTTCGCCTCTTTAAACTGTATTGTATATTTTTTAATGATTTTCGATTCTTAGGTCCATGAAAAGGAATTGTATTACGATATCAGTGCTTGAATTTAAAAATATTAGAAGTTTAACGAAAAAGCAGTGGTTAAGGTGGAATACATTTTGAAGGAAAACTATATTTACTGGAAATGGAGTAGCGTTCCCGAGAATTGACTAAACCTAATAAAACTTTGTAGAAAACCATTATGGGTAGGTACAAGATTACCAAAACATTTTTCTCTCATACATTTGAGCACACAAATGTTATACTATAATAGTGGTATTTAAAAACTATCCTAGGATAATGAGAACGAGTGCATTCACCAGTATAGATTATTTAATGTGTATTTGTAAGCAACGATTAAATATTTCTAACGAAAAACGATTCTGAGCGTAAAATAGTTGATAGAGTTGCTTTGTCAACAATATTTACGTCTTGTTATGGTAATATAATAACATATGCATTATATATTTTTCCTACGTGTTTCCCGTTTATCGTTGAAACTCTTGGTAAACTGAAAAAAATGATCTCCTTAAAATACCTTTCTAGTCCAATTTTCTTTAAAAAAAAATTCTCGCTCTACTCAAAATCTAAAAAATGTTTGCAAGCTTCCTTCAAATATTATTCTATATATAAACCTGTTCAGCAAAAATAAAGTAACGCAGATCAGTTTACGTATAATCTAATTGGTATTTAAAAATGTACTCGTATTTTTTATAAAAATAATTCGAGTTTCTAAAATATCTCAGAGACATGAACTAAAGTATTCCATCGGACTCTGAAGACTTAAACTAAAAGGAAATCCTCATTTTATTATTTTTTTGGTATTTTATTACATTATGGTTATTGTTATACTAACATCATCAAATTTAAAAAATGGATAAAAACATATTTTTTTTTAAACTTACAGAAATTTGTAGCCAATGGTCATTACGAAAAGGTACGCTAAAATATTTATAGAAAAGAAAAGGTATTCCATCCCCTAGCGTCTTCTCCACCCTAATTCAAAAGCTAAATATTATATAACGGTGCTCCCAATTGTTGTATGTTGTGTATTTACAATGGGTTTATTATCTTATTGTGAACAGCTGACATTACGTTGTATTATTACCCTGCAGTAAACATATAATATTGTGATTTAGATTTCCAACGGTATAACCATGGTTAAAATATTTGTCCAAAGGTCGGAAAATTTACTACGACGCACTTATACTTTTCACAACAACGACGCCTTCCCTGTATACTATATAAAATAGCTGGTTTCTATTGTCATGGCTAAAACAATACATCATCGTCTCGTCCGTTTCTATTCTCTACAGATCTATATCGATCAGTTAATAATACGTCTATGAATTTACATTTAAGGTACTTACTTATCTATACAATTTAATTATAATATGACTAAGTAAAAAAAATAATAATAACTGATAAGTCTGTCACTATTTTCGGTGGGTTCCGTTGGGAAGGTAGAATACATATAGAGTTATTTATTATTTATATATATATATATGTACGCAACGATAAACTATTGCTAATGAAATAGAATTCTGAGCGAAATCCACTTGATCATAATTTGAAATGTCATAATTTGTACAATTTTCATAAAAAATTGAACGTAGGTAAGTTTATAAAAAAAAAAAAACACGAAACGATGTTCGACTTAGTGAACGACTATGCAAAATTTACTTCGGAGTAAACTGGAAAAATTTGAATAATTCTGAATAAAATTTGTGGTGAATCACAAGTCAACATTTTGGGAAAATGTATACCAAGTTAAATAAATTTAGTTTGCATAAATCCAAATATTAAATTTAAAAAGTTTTGTACAAATTTAATTTTTAAACGTTTATAATAGAAAACGGTGACAAAAATGTATTATGTTTTCGCACTTATACATAAAAAACTAACCGAACAACTTTGCTGTTAGTCATTAATTAAAATAAATTCCAGTACATATCAGCAAAAAAATTTAAAATTAAAATTTCGTAGCAATAAATTGATACAATTATAATATTAAAATAACAAACTTAACAATATATTATATAATATAATATAATATTGTTGTTATGATATTGGTGTCAACAAGCTGTTTCATGACTCGTTATTTTAAAGAATCCCAAAACTTGAAAACGTTTAAAATATTATTATTGTTATTATTATAATTCTTAGTACATTATGAACACAAATAAAACATAATATCTTATACAAAATATGTTAAGCTGATTATAATACATAATATAATCTCGTAATCAATTAATTAAATCATATTAAATCAATTAATATTATGTTCATATTTAAAGCAGAGAAGATATTTGTATAGTTATGTATTGATGTGATATGGCACTATGCGCTTTAATATATTTTACAATTTTATCTGAGATTATATAATATTGATTTTTAAAAGGAAAAGAAAACAAAAGCGAGTTTCCCGAATTCATATAGTATTACATTGTTATAGATCTTTAAGTTTCTCACTCTATTATAAGGTCACATGAACTACTCGATATATTTAGGCATGGGTTGTATGTAGATAATTTTAACAGAATTTTGGATACGTGCGAATTTATCGACTGGAAACTGTTCAAACTTACATTCAAATAAGTTTCAAAATTTGTCCATGTCCTTATCACAATTTGTGAAATCAAAAGAAATACTTACCTTTTAAAGATAATTTTTACTCATTATGATACCTACTACTAAAGAGAAAAATATTACTTATATTGTATGGCATGTTGATTTTCAATGAACTCGATTGGAACGCATGGTATTGACTCAAAATTATATAAGTGGTCTTTTTTTATTATTATAGTCATTAACAGTCATTTTCATTATGAATCGAAATATAAATTAACGAAAATAAGCCATAGTTATTTAGTAATTGTACGAGTAGTTTATAATAATTTTCATAGGTCTTTTTTTTTATTTTCGATCATACTAATTTTGAGATTAAACGGTTTTTGTATTACGTGGGAAAATTGCTCACGCTGACATATTCTTAATCGTAATCAAACACATCATATGCATGTCACGTGAACGCATTTACATCGAAAATAATTTAAAAATCTTTGTGAACCATAATAATATTGGTATTGTCATTTCGATAAAACGGTTAAAATACTCCGTAAATATTCTTAAACAATCATCCGTGTTTTATATATATATATTTAAATTTATTTTCTCTAAATGAATACGAGTGTATTATATGCACCTTACATTGATATTCCAGTTTACCATTCTGTTGA